CATCTTTATTAAATTTTTTCCAGTGTTAGCGGTTGTACCGACTATTTTGCCGAAACGGAGGACGAAGCGATCGAGATGTGTCGAGAAAGTATTTTAACTTTTAATTTAGAAAAGTTTGCTCCTCCTCCCGAGTATTTGGAACCAGTTTATTCGGCTGCCGAATTAAATGGTATAGCCGGAAAAAATATTATCGGAAAATCTGATATGTTTGCGGTAATTGTTAGTTATTTTTTTGACAATAGTTACAAAATTGGTAAATTAAATTAATTAAAATCAAAGTAAAAACATCCTAAAAACTTGTGATCTAAGAAAATAAGACGAATTCTTCAAAAGTATATTTGAATTTTACCAATGGACAATTTAAATCTTGCATTGTGTATCTTGTCACGAGACTTTCCAAGAGTATTGCTAAATGGCATTCGTATACTGAATCTGTGGCATGAACTTTAGCAAAATGGGACAGCCATGTGGAAATAGGAAGTGATAAACCAATTTCAGGGGTCATTTTTAACTTTTACAGGTGACATTTATAAGGTCCTCAGCATGTTATGTGGTATTCTTACTGAGACTTAAGTTGTGAAGAAAATATGCCTCAAATAACACCACAACACCAGTAAAAATTATTTTAATGATACTAACATTTTTATTTGTCTGTAATAAATGTCAGGCATTTTTGAATACAAACCAACAGAACATATTTTTTAAAATTAATCAAATAGATCAACAAATAGATTAACATTCAAAAAGTTAAGGAAAGATATGCAAAATGACACCAAAGCTCTCAGGCTAGTTCAACAAATGCCTGCCAAGCTGTAGAGATTCATTTTCTTTAAAATTAGTTACTTTGCCATCCTTAATTGCCTTGTATATCTCAAAGGCCTCAAGATGTTTCAACCATGATATACACATGATATAATAGACTAGTGTCAAGAAAGTCAGCCTGGACTCCACCCTTCCTATCAATTACATATGACCTTGAGACTATCTTGCTGTTGAACCAAAGATTTAATAAGGCCTGGAAAAAAAACTATGTTCTGTTGCCATTCCTCTATCCTGTCCCTTGTTGAAAGTGGGTGAACGATCTCCTAATCAATACGCAAAGCACTGCAATCTTGTATGGAAAAGTATAATATGAATTGCTTGGTATACATAAAGGGAATATGACTTTTTGTGGTATACTCAAGTGAAAATGTTTTGGCTTTCTGTCTTGACCAATATATTCAAAAAAGTACTTTTGGTCATTGACTTGTTCCACTTGTAACACGAGACCATATGGGTTCCTATTCACCGACATAAGAAATGCATCAAGGCCAGGTTTACCTTTCCATATTATCAAAATATCATCTACATATTTTGTATATAATAAAATTTGGTTTTGATAGTCTAGAAGCACCATGTCCTCCAGTTTTCTGATAACCTTCTCAAATGAAGGGCACACCCTTAGTTTGAAGTAAGTAATACCTTCAAACAACAAAAAATGAATGTGTGGCGCATATTTTTTTGGGTTCAAAGGTGTTACTTACTTGCAAATTATTAAAAATTTTAAGTATAAATTAAGAGATTTACTTTCTTTTATATAGTAATATACTAAAAATATTAAATAAACTATTTACTTATAGAAGCACTACTTAGATATTTGCTTCTTCTGTGGAGTGTTAATGATGTTTTTAGTTTGTTTATCTAAGAATGAATTCTACAGAGATTACATTGGTAGAACAAACTAATAATCTGGACTTGAATACACAGTTATTAATTGAAGAGAATTGTTACAGAAAGTATTCTCTATAGCACTGTTTCTTAACCTTTTTAATGAGCGCAACCCCATTGAATCTCAAAATTTGGTCGTCTTACACCCATTGAAAATTGTGTTCAAAGTAGAGAGGGTAGTAGTGAGGGTCTTGGACACTTCTGTAGTATTTTTAGTTTATTGTGAGCTCTGATAGTACACTGTATGGTTGAATCAAATTTATGCAGCATAAAACAGTTTTAAATTTTATATTAAACATCTAAAAGATAAAAACCTGTTGTCACCATTTGCATCCCTGGTAATGCTTTCTTCAATGCACGGGTGCATGCACCCTAGATTAAGAAACACTACTCTATAGAAATTATGAATATCAAAACAATTAAAATATTTATCGTAATAAATTTTATGTATTGAAATAATTTCTTTACGATAACTTCAAAACTTTTTCTAAATTTGCAGATAATATCAAGAATTGTCGACGGAAGCGGATTTAAAGAATTCAAAAGTAAATTTGGATCACACCTGATTACTGGATTTGCCTTTTTAAAAGGGTTTGTTATATGATTCATTCGTAATATAATTATCAAACAGAATATGTATTTAGTGTTTCCTTTAAAGGTATTTGATTGGGCTACTTGCTAATTCTGGTCCAATCACCTCTGCCGATGCTCAGAAAGGTGCACATTTTATCCATTTATGTCAAAAAAGATTGATTCCAATGATATTTTTACAAAACTCTGGTATACCTGAAAAACTAGATTATAATCTTCAAGGTAATAAGCATGTATGGTAGAAGAAAGAACAATAATTTTAATAATATTTCTTATGCTTTACTTGATGTTATACACTTATTTTCAGGTAATATTTTGAAAGACAGAGCAAAAATGATAGCAGCTCATTCATGTGCAAATGTGCCAAAGATTACCATTAATGTAGGAGGCTGTCATTCAGATGAAAATTTTACTATGGTAAATGTTGTATTTTTACCCTTTCAAAACACATATTA